ATTTTCAGGTTTTAATTGATCGAACCGAAAATTTCGGACTAATCCCGAAAAAAAACTTTTTTCAGTTTTCTTTCGTTCACGATATCTCTCGAACGAGTTATTTGGTGAGACTTTCGTCTGCCTCCTTTCGAACAGGCCGTTTCCTGGGCTTAAAAAAGCTATACACGCACGTGAAATAAAACCCAAATCTCACCAAACAAAAGCACTGTCAACTCGCCGGGCAAGGAAAAACCCTGCCCTCCAGCTTTTACGCTATCACTGGACAGAATGTGAATGGAGTTGAATTTAATTTAATGTCAATCTGTCCTCGTAATTGTTCACTGTATCAAACCCCCTATACAACTCCATTCAACAACTACGTTGGCCTGGCCGGTAATACAATGACAACCCGACCAGTTGCCCAGCGGGGCCCATGCGGGGAGGTGTAGCCGCAAGGCTTGTTGAGCTATAATATTTAGTTATCCCTGTATGTGTCTCGTTCGTTTGTTACTTGTCTTCTGTAATCTCCATAATCTTTGAGCCTACCTGCGTTGCCAAATGTTTTGACAACGTCACGAGGCCTTACTCATGATACTGGCCCACGACTGGACCACTACTCAACTGACAAGCCTTGGTTTGCCGATCTTGGACCAAGACCCAGCCAATATTCAACTGTCAAGCCTTGGTTTTCCAGTCTTGGACCAAGACCCAGCCAATATTCAACTGTCAAGCCTTGGTTTTCCAGTCTTGGACCAAGACCCAGCCAATATTCAACTGTCAAGCCTTGGTTTTCCAGTCTTGGACCAAGACCCAGCCAATATTCAACTGTCAAGCCTTGGTTTTCCAGTCTTGGACCAAGACCCAGCCAATATTCAACTGTCAAGCCTTGGTTTTCCAGTCTTGGACCAAGACCCACCCAATATTCAACTGACAAGCCTTGGTTTGCCAGTCTTAAACCTAAACCCAGCCAATATTCAACTGACAAGCCTTGGTTTGCCAGTCTTGGACCAAGACCCAGCCAATATTCAACTGACAAGCCTTGGTTTGCCTGTTTTGAACCACGACCCAGCCAATATTCAAGTGACAAGTCTTGTTAAACTACTCTTGTACCAAGATCTAGCCAATGTCTATGTAACAAGTCTTGGTTTGCCAGTCTTGAACCAAGACTCAGCCAATATTTAACTGGCAAGCCTTGGTTTGCCAGTCTTGAGCCAAGACCCAGCCAATATTCAAGTGACAAGTCTTGGTTTACTACTCTTGGACCAAGACCCAACCAATGTCTCTGTAACGAGTCTTGGTTTGCCAGCCTTGATTCAAGAGTTAACCAATATTTAATTAACAAGGCTTCATGAGCACACCTCCTTCAAACTACCTCTTTTTACTACAAGCTACTTAGAGAAATCTTTTTTGGTAACTGTAATAAAGCTTTGGGAAGAACTCCCACGCGAAATTGTAAATTCGAGTAGCTTACAAGTTTTCAAAAAAGAAGTACTTAATTACTTATTGAATCTTGATAATTAAAACAATTTCTAATAAATAACAAATTTAAATTAATTCATTAAAAATTAAAGATTAAAATAAGGATGAAGTAATTGCAATTCGCAAAATTATTATGCTGAGTTATTATCGAATCTGATGACATTAAAATTCTATATTTTAAAATTATTATTTTTATATATTAAGTTTCAAGTTTAATATGATTTTCTTTTTTAACCTTGTTTACATATAAATAAATTAAATTAATTATTGTGCAATATTATATTATATTATGTACTCACAGAAATTGCTCTCTTGTAAAAACTGTATTTACTATTTAATTGAAATTACCATTTGGCCTGTGCCTTGGCATTAAATAAACAAAATCTAAATCTAAATCTAATGTAGATATTTATTGTTTAATGAATATTTGTTAGGAAATGCTTAAATTGAAAATTTATTATTTAACAAAAACAATTACATATCGTCAAGATTGATATGGTCTCAAAAAAATTAAAATATATATATAATAATTTACAATGGAGTTTTTAGTATTGATAATTTTAAACATTAAAATTTATAACAAAATATTAAAAGTATACAGAACGATGTATAAATACTAAAGTAATATAAAGACTTGACTTTTATATTTTTTTTAAATTAATAAACATTTGTGAAAAATCGTTTATTTTCATCAAAACACAATATTTAATAACATAAATTGTGAAAATAATAAACCATCACACTCTGTCAGCATATAGAGTTAGCTTATATAAATGATGAGATGTAGGTCAACTTATCGGTCGTACGGCGTAGGGGTTAGTTATCGGTCTAGTAAGCGCGCGGCTCGGGTTCGAATCTCGGTTAGGGCAAATGCAATTTCACTTTATTTTCATAATTAATAAAAGTTAGGTCTAAATAAAGAGTCAAAGGGACTAAACTTGCGTTAGCCTTACATAGAAATTACAATAAAAAAAAAATTACAAATAAAAAATTTCTTTTTATGACTTTTTATCAAATGGCATGGGCCAGACTTAAATAGTAACTGTGGCCCAGTCCTGGTAACCAGGCATGGGTCAGACTCGAAAATCGGTATTGACCCAATACTAAAATTCAGTCTTGGCACAATACTTATTTTCAGTCTTGGCACACTACTGATATTCAGTCTTGGCAGGAAGTTATCATTTGTATGCTTAGACGGACTTGGGCCAAGCTTGGATTTCAAGCTTGCCCCAGAGTTAATGAGCATTGCGCCAAGCCTTGGCCAAGCTCAGGCCGATTGTTCTTTCCTCTAAGGGTCAAGAAGATAAAATTCTTCAAAATTATTTACTTGATTCAAGTTAATTTTTTTTTTGTGTACCAAACATGAAGTAGGAACTCACTAAGGCCAACACGGTGAGCGTAACTACTGCACAGGTGACACAGATATTAAAATTGGACAAAAACGTTGCCGATTTGGAAATTTCGTAACATCGAATAAACAATTTATGATCTGAAATAATCTGAGCTTTTATCAATTATGAATAGTCAATGCAAAATTTGATTAATTACTCAGGTTCCAGTAAATTCAGTGGAATATTTTGACAAAAATATTTCATTATATTTTTTTCTTTAGTGATATAAAAAGTCTCAAATTTTTAATATTTTAGAACAAAAATCTAGGTCTGGTCAAATACACACAGGTAGTCGGCCACTAGCTATTAGACTACGTCTATTAGAAAGCTATAAGATAAGTTACATACACCGATACATGCAAATAAGTTTAACAGCCATACATAACCAATTGCACGCCTCATAAAGCGAAGCGATTAAGGTAGTGCTTCACTGTCAACACTTTTGGATTTTCCAAACTATAGTTTTTTTAATTTCCTGTAAATTATTTGAACTTGAATTTGAGTAACTATAGATAAATTTTTTCATAAAAATTTTTGAAAATTACTTTTAATTTTAAGTTAATGGAATAATCAACATACTCTAAATTAATGACAAATAATCTAACAATTATAATTTGAAATAACAATTCGAAAAAAGGTTAAATTAAAAACTTAACGAGATTACGTATGCAAAATAGATAACTCACATGATTTGGATGAACATCAAGGTGCTATAAGTTATAATCGTTTAATTCATATTATCTTAAATTTAACTGCAATTTAGTTTTGATAAGCGATAATGTGTCGTTAAGTAAATATAAATAAATTAGTCGTATCATAAACTTGACAATGATTAATACCACAATGCCATGTAATGTTATGGTTAAAGTAAATAGTATTACAAAAAAAAATAAGATTCAATGGCCTTCTAGACAATCAATTTATAAAAACATTTTACACTTAATACCTCTGCGCTAGAACATATTTACATACACATCTACACTTTCAAATATTTCCCTGTATTATAGAAATAATGTTTGCCCATTTATTATTAATGTTATCACAAAAATCAATTCGTAAAGCATATAAGACTAGCATTGTAGGCTTACACACCTCCTACTACATTGCAGCGCTGGTTCAACTTCGAAGAAGAAATATGGCATTATCAGTCTTATAATAACTGCTTTACAAGAAACACTTTACCTGGCAATTAAAAATACTCCTAATAATTATTTATTGAAGTTATTTATTTTCTAAGTTATAAATATTTATTTTTACTTCTAATTATTAATTGATAGATACATGATTTATAAAATAGTGATAAATATTTGTGATGACTGTGTGTCTAAGGCCTCAATACAAAATGGCTCATTTTGCAAAATGTGATACCAACCATCCGTACTACGCAATCGCTGCATTCCGAATGACACAGAAACCGGAAAATAGACCTGTCACTGTGGGAAGTATATATTGGAAATTTGTTGCACACAATTTTATCCACAAAAGGTGATATTGTAGTGAATTTACGTTCAGTGTCAAAACATTTTCGTGTACTGAATCTTTATGATTGTAGATAGTTTATTCTAAGCTTTTTTTTTTTGGTTATAATAGAGCATGGCTTTCTCAACTAATGCATTCATTTTTTAGTTATAAATTTTTTTTATTATCGTACGTAGGATTTAGAAATATTTGATGCATCTTATGATTTATGATTTATTTCAATAAATGCTTAAAACGATTGTTAAGATTCGACGATGATGAGTTATCAAAAAAAAATAAAACAACACTAATTTATCCTATGCTAACATCAATTCAATTTTATACAGTTCTATAGTGTGTTTTTTTTTTTTCAATTCAAAATTTACAAATTTTTTAATGCTAAATTTAAATATTTTACAATGTAAAATATACTTTTATTCTAATGTTAATTTGACAGTTATATATTGACAGGAGTAGAACAGTAACTTTAATGTGTTCGCCTATAATTTATACCCGACTTTTTTTTTGCGTGTAGATTTTCTCATTTTCTTGTTATGATCTCTTCCATATGAACAATTTAATACAAATATTTATGTTAAAATGTTAAAAATACTCATAAAATGAATGAATAATATATAAAACTACAACAAATATATATTTTCGATCCTAACTTTTAGCCAATTTTCGTATGCATTTTATTTAATTGAACTGTATAAAAAATTTATCGGAATTTTTTTAAAGATTTCTTAAAATATATAAAATATGTACGAAAATCGACCAATAATTTACTTTTGACAGTATAATTGTTGTAGATATTTGATCGAATTTTATATATATTACATTGATTCTAAGAGATTTTTAAAAATTTTTGATATAAATCCTGTGAAACTAGATCGATTTTTACGGTTTATAGATTCACATAAATTTTTTTTTTAGTGAAATTTCTGGTGACAAGCTTCCAAAATCTATCTGTGAAATATTTGTAATTTTTACCACTTTTGGATTAATTTTTTGAAAATATACCGATAATTCAAAATTAAATTTGTTTCTTATTTGGGATCTAGTTAAATATCAATTAAACTTTAATCCAGAACCATTTTGATTGCTCGAGTTTCTTTGTAAAACTATTATATATCGATGGCCTCATTGTCAAATGTCGAAGCCTTCATTCAAGGTTATTTTTTATTTTCAACGTTATCATACTACGAAAATTAAGCAACCGACAAATTATCAGCATTTAAATTCTTTATAGAATGGAAATTGAACATTTGCAATTTATTCGAAAATACATAACCCAGATGAATTCATTCATCAAATCATCTATGAATGTTTTTCATTTTATTTTGATGATAAAAATGCAATAATGAATATTGACACTGTTGAGGCAAGGATTAGAATATCTTTTTTTAAAAGATAAAAACATTTTTCGATGAGTATTTATATGATATTTTATTAGTAATCATATCAATATTATTCAAGTATTTAAAACAAGAGATAGAATGTAAAAAATATTTGTTATTTTTTTTTTCCGTAAAATTAGATTACAGTTACGAGGTTAACTGTTAAGTGTTTAAAAAGTTATTTATTTTTATTGCAAACAAAAGTTATTCCCATAAATATAGATTTCCGCTATGAACATTATCAATATATTTCAGTGTTTAAAATTAGATTTTTATGTAAACTATCAATTCATCCATCCATATCAGAGTTATTTTTTAGCGATATAGGCATAAACTATTTACTACTTGAATAAAAACAGAAAAAAAGTTTTTTCCTTAAGAAACATATTTAAAAAATTACTGCTATCGAATAATCTAAATAATTTTCTTTTTATGAGATTAGTCATAAAATTTTCTGAAAAATTGATAGTTAAAATTCAGCGTATGTAATGATTATAATTTTTTTTTTTTAATGCAATGTCTTGGAATTGAGGTAATATTGATACATTAGATCTTAAAATTGTATAGTTGATATGCAGACACTAATTTAAAGCAGCATAAATATAGCCGAAATAAAACTTATTTAATTAGCTTTTAAGCTTGCAATGTTAAAAGAATTAAAAGCTCAACGAAAATTGATTAAAATTCATCCAAATATTGTCGCAATTGTAATTTACTTTTGAATTTTTCATATAAAAAAGATTGATTTCAGAGTAAAAGCGTTTAAAAAAAATGAATATTCACGCCTCATAATGCTCAGTTAATTAAAAGAAAACAAAAAAATCTGAAAAACATTTGATTGGCAGGCCATCCCTGGAACTTCCTGCTTTTTTCGAGCTTAAAACGCTCGAAAATCCTCCTCAAAAATTCAAAAATTATATTAAAAAAAACAATTACAGTGTAAACTCTACATAACGTTACTCTATATAACGACAAACTCCTTAAAGCGTCGAAATCACTTGTCTTTGGTTGGTTTAGCTTGTCTTTCATACAATGATACACTCTATATAGCATTACACTCACTCTCAATAACGACAACAATTAAGTGGCATCATGCATACCGAACTTTCTGAGAAATTTTTTCTTTTGTTTACAAACTCATAGAAGATGAGACAGATGAGCTTGAGCCTCCACTGAGCATTAAAAAAGCTCTGGAAGCAGCTAAATTATTAGAAAAATATTTCCTTTATGACCAAGATCCCTCAATATCGCAAGATATGAAAAAAATATCGACTTTCTAATTAACAAATTGTCTAACTCCATTTAAGACAATCTTCCATTTGTTCGAAGAAACAATTTGTGAAAATTTTATTATCACTCAAAAAAACCATTTAATATCTAATAGAGGTATAATATTTTGGTTTGGATCATTCAAATAATTTATAATTGGATTATTGCTACATCAAAATGTTAAAAAATTACCCTCTACAAAATAAGGAGTTAGACCAATTGCTAATTAGACCGTCAATATGTAAAAAAATACAACAAAATTATTGGTGCAGCAAAAGACGTCAGACAAAAATAACAGACTATACGCAATAGGGCTGTTAATAAATAAATAAATAAATAAAATTGCTTTCTATACACATAACTAAAATAAAAATATAGTATAAAGTAAACTTTTTTTTTTTAATTCTAATTTTTCTTCTCTCTATTTAACGTCAACTCTCTATAACGTCATAAAATTCACGGTCCCTTCAGTGTCGTTATATAGAGTTTACACTGTATTTAGAAATTTTTATACGGCTATAACTTTTGAACACCTCGTTTAATTTTAATTTACTTAGCGGCATTCAACGCAGTTTTTTAAGTTAAATAAAGTGTCTTTAAATACGGGAGTTGATTAGTTGATTATTTCGAAAAAATTTGGAAAAAATGTATTTTTTGGTTTTTATTTTTTGAAAAACGCACATCAAGTACGTTCCAAAAATGTTTCTTTTAAATTTTAAATTTATAACAAAATTTTTTAAAATTTTCGAAAATGATACACAAATCATAACCCGGAGAATAAAGTAATATCAGAATTGCTTTTTTATTTATTTTATTAAATGTACACTCAACAATATTGACAATAACGGGTTATCTGAAAAAACCAAATAAAATTAGAATTCATTATAATATATATTAATGTTGAGTATCGTTGCACGTAGCCGTTTTTTTTTTCATTTTGATTTTTCAGAAAGGTCGGCCGATTGGAAAGTTTTTTGTTTGTTCCACCAAAAGAAATTTTAGTTTATGCTTATCAACAAATTATTTGTTGAAATAAACGCTAAAACACTTTATTTTTATATCAATGTTTTTTTTTTTTAATCATTTCAATGAAACTAAATAGTTTATATCTAAAATGAATATCGAATTTTATTCATATTCATTTTTGTAAAAAATTCGAAAAAAAATAAATTAAAGTGATTAATTATTCCAGGATTCAAGATTCGGATGGTGGATTTTTCGAGAACTTAGGAACACTGTTAGCAGAAAAAGTTCGAGCTCAAGAACTTGCAGAAGGACCATTACCAATAAAATCAGACAAAAGTGATGAGGAAGAAGACGTAGTCGGCGAAGGAGGAAGTATAGAAGAACCAACAGAAGCTTTGCTCGAATCAGACAGCGACAGAGATGAAAATGAACGGGCTCTGGATATTGTCATTGGCTCTGTCGGCTGGAATGTAAGTTTAGATTATATAAATTAACGAGCTGTTTGTATTTTTAAAAAAATATTTTCCCGTGCATCAACGCATCAATGTATCAATAAAGCTACTTAAACACTGTCGATTGTATTTGAAATGGCAGCTGGAATTGATTGAACATCTAAACGGATTCATTGAATGCATTGTAAGAAATTGTATCATCGTTCATCGGCTTGTATAATGCAACGCCTGTTCGATCAAAGATGAAAGCTATGCTAATTTATTTAGAGCTATATTATTTTTATAATCTTGAGCCTCGTGTGAAATTCGAATAAAACTATTCATCCGCTGATGAATGGATCATCTTTACGATTTAATCTGACTATTATATTCTACTTTACTTGATAACAAAAGCTGGTATAGAGAAGATAACTTTAAGTACTTGTCTAACAATTATGTTAAAGGGGTCATCTTATTAAATTATTAAATCGATCGACAAGCCCCCCTGGAAAAAATATATATCAAAACATAAAGGCAATCATAAGTGAAATTTCTATTTGTACATATGTCTAATTTATGTGTATTTTTGTCGAAAGCGTACGTGAAAAATTTTTTATGTTCACCTATATGTTTTTATTATATATGTTAGATACATTCATTCTTACACGAAAAAAAATATAAATTATTATCTTCGATAAGAGACTCAAATTGAACAGATTGAATAAGACTTTTTTGATATGACCATGAGTAGCCTGATGTGGCTATATATAGCCTGATCTGGAATAAGAAAATAGTTTAATGTAATTTCCCATTTTTTTTATTATTTCGGAAAATTTATAAACGAATTAACATGATATATTAAAAATAAAAGGGTTTAGTAGTCGATTAAACAAAAAATCAATGTCCAATACACTCTGCAAGACAGTTAAAAAACGTTGGAAAAAATAAAATAGCACGCTGCTAGCGTTCATGTTATCACGAAAAATTAAAAGAAAAAATATTGATAGTTATTAACAAAAAATAAGTTAGCAGGGCTTCATTGATCGATATTTTTGATTTTTAATACTTTAAGGAATAACCATGATTAACTTTTAAGAATGAAAGGAATAAAAACAAAATTTTAGTTGGATTTAGCGCTTTTACTCGAGTGCAACGTGATATACTGCAGTTTTTTACTTTGGTCGATTAGAGAGGGTACTGGAATGATTATAGTATGAACAAGGACTTCAACCACCAGTTTTATATATTTATGGTATTTGGGATAAAATGTCGAATTTAAGATTTATTTATTACAGCACGACGTAAAGGATTCAAATAGCAATTTGTAATACAGATCTTCCTCAAATAATGATGGACCTATTAAAAATATAGGGCCGACTAATTATGGTTGTCAATAGTTATTCTATTTTTTGTAAAACGAATTGTTCATTGATGTCACTTTTTTTTATACAAAGTAGTTCATTAAATTTTTGTATGAATAACTTAAATGCAAATGATAGCAGAAATTTTTTCGAGGTCATTCAAGATTTTTTTAAATTTCTTAAATCATGAAAAATTGCATTTTTTTTTTTGTTTTTAACCTCTTTTCTGGTCAATCTATTATTTTTTTAATTTAAAATTGTTCACATTCACGAAATTTAAAGTTGAAGTATTTATTTTTCAATCACGTAATATTATTATAAATGTTAAAAATCCCGGATAAATTTTGTTAATTTAAAATAAAGTAGTAATTATTGTTTATCTGACTTTAGTTGCTTCGTATTTTATTTCTATTCTTTATTGTGTCAATTTGATGGAAAAAAATTGAAAATTAATTGATATTCATGCCACTAAGTTGCTCAAAAACATATTAAGGAGGTTGGATACCGATTTTCAGAAAAATACTAAAGTTTGGAAATTTTATGTTGTTGAAAAACTTAGTTTTATTCTTATAAACTGGAGAAGTAGAAATCAATTTTTAAAATGCTATGAATGTTGTTAAAATAATAGCATCTTTGTAAACTTTGAAGCCCCGAATTTTAGTCACTGACGTCACACATATCATAAAACCGATAAAACACGGCAACAATGTAAAATGACATGACCGCAGGTAAATGAAATAACTCATGACAATTCTATTTTAAAAATTTGAAACATACTTCATTTATTTTTAAAATTTATTAATTTTCTACCTTATCATTTAGCAATAAAAAACTTTCCATGGCTATGAGTTCATGTTGAATATTTTTCAATAGTCGATTTGAATACACAATTCCTACAGGTTTTGAATTACATCATTTTTTTATTAATTATTATGACAAATTTATTGTTTATTTTTTAGTGACGAATAATTTCTTTATTGTTATTACAAATCGTAAAAAAATGATTACCAAACAATTTTGAATTTCCATGAAAAAAAAAACAAAAAAAAATTGAAAACAAAAATATTACAAATTCAAAGTAATTAACCGTAAGTTGCTCCCATAACTGACAAAACGGGATCAAGGGTGACTATTCCCAGAGATTCTGAATTAAAACGTGAAGACCCGGCTCGAAAGTCAGCGACATTCATAAATCTTATAAGCTTGACCAAGGGTACTAGGTCGGGATAAACAACTTTGTTATATATTGCGTGTCTAGTATAATTGGTACACATCTTAGTCGGGATTGATCGGGTCTCCGCGCGTAAGTTCGTACACACAAATGTTACGTACGTGGTGAAACACCACCACGAGGATTCGCTAACTAATTTACTCAGTCCATCTATTCCTGGCAGTGTTAAGTTAGACTTGGTTACGTATCTATCTTCTTGCATTTTATTTATTCTCATTCTCATTTTCGCCGACGTAAATATCAGTTAATTATTTTGCGTTTGATAAGTGTTTTTTTTTATCTAATCAGTCATGATACATAATCGATATTAAATGTTAATGAATAAAATCAAGAAGATGGAATAAAAAATGACAATTACACGTGTGGGATTTTGAAGGAAGATGTGATATGTATACCAGTGAGCTTTAGAAGTTTAATTACCGTCTTGATAAACTTGTGATTATTTGTTTTGTGGGATCGTCGCGTAATGTCATGAAGAATTTTTTTTTCAAGTCTATGTATTTTTAGTTTTAGTAACGGCTGGATTGTGAAATTTTAAAAGTTTGTCACATTCATGAGACAATTTTTTTTTATTTTTACGTGAAGACAGACTTTTGAGTATTTTTGTGCTTTTGAATGTTATAAGTCTACAGTTTAAATTTTTATATTTATATCATATAAAAATCGTCACCTCGAATTTTTAACGAAATAACTCAAACAAAAAAAAATTTCGTAACATTTTTTTTTTTTAATCATTTAATTTTTAAATAGCTTAATTTGTGGTAATTGTATAATTCGCGGGTCCACAATACATCAATTTATTAAAATAATGTTTGAATTTTTTTTACTGTTACATTTTTTTTTCTAGAAGGTCTTTAACAATGAAATAATTGAAAAAATTTTTTTATTAAATATACATTTTTCGATAAACAATTATGTAAATTTTTCATAAAAAAATGTCTGTTCAAATTAGGAAATTAATATCCTTCAAAATTATATTGTTTAAATTTCATATTTTTACAAATAAAAATTGTTAAATTTATGTAAACGCACTTTTAGTTGAAATAACATTTTCGCAACACTAAAAGCTCCAAAGTTAATCAAAAAATTTATTTTTACAAAATACAAAAATGGTCCAGAATATTAAGTCTAAAATTTTCTATGGCAAAGGACCAAATGATCGTAAATCAAAAAAATTACCATATTATTTTTCTTGAAAAAGTTGTTAACTCAAAAAATCAGAATTAAATCTCGTAATTGACTTGATGTTAAAGTTAATGGTCTTAAATATAAAAAAATGAATAATAAGTTTGTCATAATAGCAATACAGTGTGCCTTGGAGATGCCTTGATAGTCAATCAGCTAATTGTCGGTATATCAACTTTCATTGGACGCAATTGTAGGAACATATGATGAACTAAACGCACTACACAATTCTGTACACTAGTTTAAACGGGATGCGGCCCAGTTCTAAATGGCTACCTCTGATTCTGGTCACCTGCGTGTTTCAAATAAATAGACAAAATTTTTTTACGTAATCTTCCAAAAATTACGCGCTCAGACAAAAAAAAAAATATTAGAAAGTTCAATTGCGTGTGTCTACTTTAGGCGTTAGCATTTTTTAATTCATCGGATCAAATGGCTAAGCGTCAACTATTTGCAGACTCTAGTGCCGCATTCTGTTAATTCTTTCGTCATTAGTTTCAAGTGATGATGACCCCCAATGTCTCGTGATTTTTATTACACTCAAACAAAGTAAGATTATAAATTGCCAATCTCAATTTTATTCGAATTTTATTTTGGTTTTCGACTCGACATTAACAATTGAAACTTTAAGCATTTGTATAATCGGATATGCGCGGGCCTAAGTGGGGGTCGTTGCTTGATGATTATCAGTAGAAAAGGTCACAGACGAAGTTCATCTTCGTTGTAAAAATTATGACTTGTTTATCGCGTTACAATTCAGACGGTTGATATAATAAAGTGTTTTTTGCTTGTGGTAATCTTTTTATTAACAAAATTGATAAATATTGACAAGTTTTGTTAAGAATTGAATTAGTCTTGAAATTGAATACTCAGTAGTTCCTCGCACAATTAATGTTTATGGAATTTATTTTTAGAAATTTAATCGGCAATTGTTAAAAGTGCAATTTAATCAAACTTTTGTGACATTAATTATTCAATAAATACAAATGTACGAGTAAACATTCTGGATTAATTATCATGGTTGTGACAAAAACGCTTGGAGGGATGAATAGAAGCATCCGTAGTAAAAATACCTTTCGAGGTATCCCAAAAGCGGAATTAGAACGGAAAACCAATGCGATTCTTCGTGCAATGACGGTAAGATTGTAGAAATTACATTAGAAAAAATACATTCATCTAATCCGGAAAAAAATTTCGGATTTGGGTTAATGTACCCCATGTACGACTATATCAAAAAATTTTATGCCTATGCAAGGAACGAAATTTTTTGAGAAAATAACAGTGAAGATGGCAGTAATCGAGGGACATTCCACTTTGAAACTAATTACAATTTTTTAACAATTATTTAAAATTACAATCTAAAAAAACGTCATTTGGCCACGCTCGAGATGGAACATCAATTTTATAGTAAATAGTTGATAAATTTTTTTTTTATTATTATTTAGAGTCGGTTTTAACTACTGTAGTCATATCGCCGACTTTAACTGTTGGAGTGGTACGTTTTGGGGTCTTTTTGGGTTGTGAAAATCTAGTTGATAAATTATTTAACTTCAAACTATTCTAAATTTTTTTTATGATCATTTCTCATGATCAGCTATTAAATTAATCAAAATACAATGAAATCAAAAAAGTTGTACCTTACCTAAAACTGATTCAAAGTAACTTTTAATTTCAATTAAAATCGCTAAAAACTGTTGAGAATTGTCAGTATTACTGTCCAAAATGAAGACAATTTTATGAGCTTTAACATAAATTTTTAGGATTGAACTATTTCTTCTGAATCAAAGTTGTATGAAAAATTACATATACCAGTGATCAGTTATTTGTAAATTATAGTTAATTCTAAAAAGTTTTATATAATTACTATTTTAATAAAATTTCATGCAACTAGTTGAATATCTGTAAAAATGTACTTTAATAAGATTCGTAATATTTTGTTACTATTAGTTACTATCATTTTATTTTCGTTATAATGTGAAATAACCTTGAAAAAATATAATAAATTTAAAAAATCAACTAACCACCGAATATCATCAAATGAAAATTTAACTTTTCAAAACAAAAAACCTATGTAATTCATATGAATTACATTCAATTGCTAACAATATTTCTAGTAATAATTATATCATCTGTGTACGGTATAAGCTACATTAAAAGTTTTTTTTTCGATTTCACTTGAGACTGTTGTAAATTTTTCTTAGATAAACTTTGAAAATTATTACTATTATAAATAAATGATAAAGTAGTACTATAGAGTTCTACGATTAAAATACAGACCGGTAATTTTTGTCATGAAATTAACAGTAAATTTTGAAGAAGTTACTTTTTGTGTTTATGGTTTGATATGGTATGATATTATTAGGAACATATTTTGTTTGATATGTCTTGTCATTACTTAACATAGTCATAGATGCTCATGTATAATTTTTCGACGAAAAGTAGTCTTGAAAATCTCCGATAGAGAGCGTATGATCGCGAAATCGTCTTCCTGTATGAGACTTATGTTTGATATCTTAGATCTAAAATAAGAAGCTTATCTGAGACTGGTTTTTGGTTTAATCAAGTACTAAACCGATTTTTATTTAATCTAACACGTTGAATTGAAATACACATTCATAGAAAAGATAAAAAATTGAACAATTATATAATTATTCTGATATGTAGTCTGATATGGCCATATGACTATATCAGAAAATTTTCATCATTATTGATAATGATAATGACGATGATCCATCGACCTAACTGATAAGACTTTAAGTTTTGTGGGAAAATTAATTCATTAAAAAGTCTAAATGTGTTGATGACATCAATGAAATAAAAAATAGTTTATTTATTTAACAGATCGAAGAACTTTACACGGCTCTTGTTTACATGACGCAACACCAAATCGGCTATGATGTTACAAATGAGTGCGGACGGGAAGCTTTACTTAACCATCTGCAGCAAGCTTTCAAGGTTGACTTTGAAGTGCACTCACAAGTTGTAGAAGAAACACAAAGTATGGAGGTAAATTCTATGAACTGTTTAATAATTCTCGAAATAGATTAAACGTAAATATTTCTGGATCGGAAATAAAACTTTCTTTTGGCATTAAATTTTAGTTGAAAATGTGTCTATTTTAAAATCTAAAATTACGGCTAACTTTTGACGAATTTGTTTATTTTTTTTTTAAAGTGTGAAATTTTTGTAACAGAAATTACTGCTTTTCGAAAAGAAATAAAATTTTATTACTTAAAAGTGCAAAAAACTAAAACAATTACATTTAATGAACTGGAATTAAATAATGCTTATTATTTTTTCATCATTTGCCAAGTGATTGATTAATGTCTTTATTTTTAAATATCATGAGTATGGTTTAAGAATTTTTCGACAAAAATATTTTTTGTTAAGCACACAAATTGGAAAACTCAAGTGTCCCTTTTATAAATTGTTAAATTAATTATGACAGTTGACTTTATTTACTTCAAAATATTTTAATTTATTTTATTGAAATTTTATTCATCTTCTGAGAGTTAGATTTTTACAAAATAGAAATTCGATTCAAATACTGTATCTGGGTCGCTCCATACTAAATCACCTGAATTTAACTATAATATTTTTTTATTTAGTTGTTTTATTGGAATATTTTTGTAAACACTAACAAATCTTACCTGTAAATTTGGAGCCTTTAATCTTTAGCAGTTTGGAAATAATGAATTTTTGAAAATCTTGTAAAAGTCACAATATGATAAATATAAGAAATCACACACACACACACACACACACACACACACACACACACACACACACACACACACACACACACACACACGCACGCACACACGCACGCACACAGGAGGCCCAAAGCAGAGCAGGAGACTACTGCTATCATCTGTAGTCACATCAGTGCTCACTTACGGAATATCTATCTGGGCAGACGCACTAGAAAAGCAAGAATCATGGAGAAGGGCTGGACCAGTCTACCGTCTGAGTGCCTTAAGAGTAGCAACCGCCTTCCGCACAATATCTATGGAAGCAATGTATGTCATTTTCGGAACTTTGCCTCTTGGAATCTTAGCTGAGGAAAGACGGATCCTTTACCAACGAAAGAAGTTGACCCCACTAAGCGCTGGGAGCTTGGAACAGAAGAGCGGCAGAGGAAGAAGCTGCTTGGAATGCAACGAACACTTTTGCCACAGAAGTGCTTATAGAGCTGCGTTCCATCGAGAGAAAAAGAGCAAAAGACAGAATCTAGAAGGAAGATAACATCTTAGCCACCAGAAGGAAGAGTGGCAGCTAATTCCTCCCCCCGCGAAGAAATGCCTTACGGCGGTACCATGGGGGATCAGAGGATAGAAGAGAAAGGGGTTTAGGGTTTAGTGGGTAGGGGCGTCAGCGTCAAGTTTTAGTATGACGCTGCGTCGAGTCGCCACATATCTGGGCCAACATCTATGCCTAGAATCCGTAAAAAGGATTCCCCCCCCCCCTAAAGGGAAAAAAAAAACAACACACACACACACACAGACATGCTGTCGTCTTCATAGAAATAATCAGAATAGCTTTCTAGGTTTTAAAACGTGAAGACCTCATGAAAACTCGATTTTTAAGAATCACGGTGAAACCAATAACTTTCACATTTTTGAAAATCATTGGTTTTTCCGGTGGGAAGTTAAAAATACGACAGAACAATATTTTTGAAATATTTTTTTTTTCTGATCTTTTAGAAATCAGAAATTATCGATTTTTGAAACAAAACATACTGCTACATTTTCGAAATTTTCAAAAATTCGTAACTTTTAAACTTTAAAAAATTAATGTCTAAAAATTAACAGGTTAGCTTTTTCTAATGCATAAAAAAACATATCAACAAATCAGCTATATGAAATAATACGATTTTTGAATTAGGTAAAAGTTATAAAATTATCCACAAAAATATTCTCTCGTCTATAATCTCAACAGTTTTCGATCCGGAATAATTTAAGTATAAATAAAATGTGAGATACCTTAAAATGTATGTTGTTAAATTTTGCACGTAACTATTTTTAGGCGCCAGTAATGCATCTAAATGTCGAAGTAATAGAAGCTAAAGAGCTTATTTCGAAAGATTCAAACGGCAAAAGTGATCCATTCTGTGCACTCTACCTCGAATCAGCACCAACTCGAAGATATAACACAGCTGTTAAGACAATGACGTTGGCGCCAGTTTGGGAGGAGCATTTCGAACTACCGCTTGAAGATGCTGACAATGATACTCTGTGCCTTGAAGTTTGGGATTTCGATGCTGCTGAAACGGTACCGGAAAAGATGAGCAAAGTCAAGGATGTTAAAGGCGTGCGAGGCTTGGTAAAATTAGCAAAAGAGATTGCAGTTACCGCAACCACGGGTAGTCATGACAACGAATTCATTGGTCGTTGCAAGATTCCGTTGAAAGACATTCCGGTTACTGGACACACGACGTGGTATTCGCTTGAAAAGAAGAACAAATCCAAACGACGTGGTGTTGTAAGACTCAGACTGGCATTTAGTGCAGAGCATAATACTCAAGTAGCAGCGCAGGAACACAGGCATCTAGTTAGAATTCTACTTCTTCATGAACTCGAAACAGAAAAAGTTGAAAAGTACTGCTGGTGTGGTCGTTGGTCTGCTCCAGCAGAAGCCTTGATTCTTCAGCACAGCGCTCAACGTGGACTGCTGGCGAGAAATGTCTTTTTGTCGCAATGGGTTGAATATTCTCGGATTCATCAACAGCATCCGCTTCATTTTGCTGTTTTCAACAAGGTTGCTGTTGAACTACTCAGGCCTCTTGAGAATGGCCTATTCTCCAAAGATGAAGAGAAATTGTTCTGGGATGCTACGAAGAAAATTATCTACTCTTGTTTGAATAGTATTAGAAAAATTAGGAGGCTCTCTGCGGGTGATAAAAATGTTATGACACAAATGGGCGCTATTTTGGGGTAAGTTGATAATTCAGTTAGTTCTTATAGTAATAAGCACCAATAATCTGCAGTTATCATGTGAATGCCAAGGATTGTGAATTATTAATAAAAAACTGACTTGATGAGTTATTGATATAGTTAATTACAATATACATCGTTTGGGTGCTTTTGAAATATATTGAAAATATTATATTGCTATGAGAGGATTAGTTATCAATCATTTAATGGAACATCATGTAAAGAAACTTGTATAACTAATAAACTGTTTAAAACTGCTTCAAAAACTTGACATAAAAGATTGACTGTTACTAAAAAATACATCAATTCCTTATAAAGATTGAAAGAATAAAAATCAATTTTAAAATAAAAAAATGTTTGCCTCAAAATTTATCTTATTCTTTTAATTAGTTAAATGATAAAATGATCATCGCCAAAAAAATATGAAAGCATGAAACAGTACTAGTCAAATCGTTTTTTATGATACCAAATTTGACTGTGAAAACCTCTTTTATAATAAAAAATACCTATTACAGATTTTTCCTTATGCTATCAATTATGTAAATAATTTCATGTCTTAAGAACAATACTTGTGTATTGAAAATAAAAAGTATTCAATTTGTTATACTAAATCGTCTTTATGATGATTGTTTACACATAAATGTTTTAATAAGCACATTTTGACAGATATAATTAACTCATAAAGACATTTTACATTTTTAAGTCAATTGATTGAAAAGTTCATATAAAACTAGTTATTCAATTACTTGAAACGTTTATTACGTTATTCTAAATCATACAGGCTATAAATACTATAGCTCTCGAAAAAAATAACTAATGAAACCAATTGCTTTTCGTATGATCATTGCAACAAGCTGGTCATCGTACTTCAAGTTTTTTAAGTGATTATAAACAGAGAAACATTAAATTGAAAACAATAGAAAATTTTTAATGCAAAATTTTTGTCAGAAAACATTTTTCATTTCTTTTGTGAAAAAATAAGAACTTAAGGCATGTATATTCGGATTTATTGAACTTTATTAACTAAACATGGTTTTTTTAATTTGTTACCAGAATTCTATCATCAATTTCTTCACTCAGAATACCTGATGACTTTGATTTGTTTCCTCAAAAAATGTTCGGCTGGTTTCCTGAACCCGAAGACATAAAAGTGGATGTAATGAAGGCTTTGGAGTACTCCGTAATCCAAGGTGGAGCAGAATGGTAATGATTACTTTATTTATTATATTATTATTATCTAGTTTCATATTCTTCATCTCTATTTATTGATCATAATGACTAATAGGTTATTTATTATCAGTATCCAAGAGTTAAGTAAAGAGTTAGTGTTATTGTTAAGTCCAAAATGATTACTGCCGTATTTAATAATGCACTTATTTATAGGTTTGATCACATATTAAATAATAATACTCCAGCGAGCGATAGTGACGATGATGCGCTCAAGTACCAAATAAAAGTGATCCAATTGATTAGAGCAGATCTTCAGCGTGCAATGGAAATTTACGACCGTATGTTTATAAAAAAAATCAACTTTCCTTATGCTCGGACACTTTACATAATGTATGAAAAGCGAATCAGTGATATGTGCATGGTAATTATCGAAGACGTGTGTCTTCGTCTAAAACGAATCGAAGTTGATAGCACTGACGAAGTAGAGCTTACATTGGGGACAACATTGTTCGAACTTTATCTAACTCTCCAGCGATATGCTATGTTAAGTAACATGTTCTGTCTAGATGGGATCGATCATATGAAAATCCAAAGTTACCATGAATGGTTCCGAGCCGGAGTTTCACACTGGTTAGATATATCTGTGTACAAAGCATTGAAGAGGATTGAAAGGGCTGTTGAATTTGACACCCTTCAACCAGTTGACTCTAGTGTCCAGTACAGCTCCAGCGCTGTTGATACTTTGACGATTTTTTACCAAATAAAGGTCTTTTGGACTCAATTAGCTTGGCCAGATGTCGAAGGCTCTTACACATTTATTGCAAAGATAATTGACGACATATGCAAATGCACGATTTCGTATGCAGACATGATGGCGTCAAAAGCTGAAAAAGTTGATCAACAGATTCAGAGCTTGGACAACAATAGCAGCGTTTATGATAAAAAGTTCGAAGTCTCTAACGCTTGGTGCTTTGCTATTAACAATATTGACTATATCAGAACTTCAATTGGGCCATTGACCCACGACTTAGGCCTTCAAGATATAATCGACAGCTTGAGTGAGAACAAAACTCAGCAGGAAGCTGATCGCTGTCGACAAACTCTCGAGCTTCTTATCAATAACACGATGGACACTGTGAAGAACAAAATCATTGAGCTGCTAGAAGTCGTAGCAAACAAAATGCAGCCTGCTATGAGCAGATATCTGATGGAAGGTGCTGAGTTGATAGACACTACAAGCAATGCAATGGATCGCTTGCTGCAATATTTGGACACAAACATCACCGTATTGCATGACAATCTCAATGAAGACAATTTTGAGAGAGTTCTCTTAGTAATTTGGGAAATAATGTCTGAAACTTTGTATAAACTCGTGTACGCTAATTTGGAGAAGCGCAGGCCTCCATCATTTTACTCCAATCTCAATCGCACTTTACACACGTTGATAAGGTTCTTCAATTTAGGCGCCGATGAGACTTCGAATGTCAAAATTTTGGAGAAAATAGAACGGCTTCTCAGTCTCCATGGACTTGAAACTGCAGATTTGATCCATCGTTATTATTTGGAACGGGCTCAGCAACAGAAGGATATTGAAGAAACGTCACATGGTATGCTGACTGTGCGCGCTCAGTTTATCAGTAATTCACTGAATGTCCAGATTCTTAATGCCAGAAACTTGCGGCCTATGGATAGTAACGGTAAGTTTAAATCATATGATTTTTAATTAGAACAGGATACCTTTGCTTTGAGTTAACAGGGTTTGGAGAAAGTTTGGGCGAATCTTATGTTGATTAAGCTTTGAAAAAATATACATATGAATGAATAATTTTTTAATGTATTCAGTAAATTAGAAAACAATTCAATGTTGAGTTTCTCTGAAAAAAACGTCTATAAAATGACATTTTTCAATTCTTATACACATTTTTGACGAACTGACAATTTTCCGTCGTGTATTTTTTGTTTAATTTTTTTTTTGTTTATAATATGCAATGAATTTGCATATCGGACATTACACGCCAAATCGGACGGTTTCGAAAATTTGAATTTTAGATTTTCTCAATTCTTTGGTATTTTTATCCTCCAAAAGAGGCTTCCTGGTAATTTCGAGATTTTTTGATAACTGGTTCCAAAAACATCGAATTTTCAAAAAAAAAAAAACCAAGTCATTAACAATCGTGTTTAATAGATTTTTTCTCATATTTATAACTGCGATTCAAATTCAGTCGAACAAAGTACATAAAAATCATACTCAAGCTGGATCCAAAAATTGTTTTTCATTTCGATAATTTCGATTTTTCATGATTTATTGCAATTTTTTTCGGTTTTTCACAATTTTTTTTTAAATTTCGATGGCTCAACAGGCTAATTTACGTTCAGATTTAGATTCAGTGAATTAAAATACATAAAAATCACACTTGATCTGAGTCCACAAAAATGTTTTCATCGCTGTGATTGCAGTTTTTCGCAATTTTTTGCGGACGGACTAGACTCGCTCGGGGTGGTGAAGATTCCGATCTCTAACACTCACTGTGTACTTCCTGATCAAGGCCCGAAGTGACTGGCTCTTGATCCACTACTGCAACTTACACCTCGGCAGGGCAAGCTCACATCAGCCGTGGCCTGCATCGTCGGACACTACGATACAGGTTCCGGACACTCCCAGTGGGTTACAGCAGGGACCGATCGTCTTGTTAGGTCAGTTAGTGTGACCAACCCATTAAAGGGGAGTTTTGTCCACGGGAGCGTATTTTGTTTGGTTATTTTGCTTGACTCCTACCCGCTGTACCCCATCAACTAGGAGATTATCCAAGTGTCATCCAAGGACAGCGAGCGTTCTCCCATCCGCTCGGGGAGACGCGCCCGGTAGCAGTATCTCTTCTGCCCCGAGCGGGGTGAGGAATTAGCTGCCGCTCTTCCTTCTGGTTGCTAAGATGTTATTTCTTCCTTCTAGTTTCTGTTATTCGCTCTTTTTCGTTCAATGGAACGCAGCTCTGTAAGGACTTCTGTGGCAAAAGTGCTTGTGGCGTTCCAGGTAGCTTCTGATGACAGCATTGCTGCTACTATTATTTCTGGTTGGATTTTCCTCTTCAGGATATTCTCCTGCTCATCCCGATGTGGGTAAAAACGTGAGCACTCAAAGAAAACGTGCTCTGTATCTTCATTGACTCCTGGGCAGGATGGGCTCTCTGGGGAATTATCATGCTTGGAGCGGTGGAGATACGCCCGGAAACAGCCGTGTCCTGATAACATCTGTTTAAGATAATAGTTGACCTCACCGTGACTCTGGTTTAGCCAAACGTTGATCCTTGGTATGAGACGATGCGTCTACCTACCCTTCACTGTGGCATCCCACTGTAATTGCCATCGTCTTATGCTCCTCTGCCGCTCTTCTGTTCCAAGTTCCTCAGCGCTTAGTGTGGTCGACTTTTTTCGTTGGTAAAGGATCCGTCTTTCCTTAGCTAAGATTCCGAGAGGCAAAGTTCCGGGAATGACACACACTGCTTCCATAGATATTGTGTGGAAGGCGCTTGCTACTCTTAAGGCACTCAGATGGTAGACTGATCCAGCCCTTCTCCATAATTCTTGATTTCCTGGTGCGTCTGCCCAGATAGATATTCCGTAAGTGAGCACTGATGTGATTACAGATGATAGCAGTAGTCTCCTGGTTTGCTTTGGGCCTCCGACGTTTGGCATCAGCCGTGCTAAGCTAGCTACCGCTGCTGATGCTTTTGCACTCACGTGTTCGATTTGCTGCTTAAAGTTGAGTCGGGCATCAAGCATCACTCTCAGATATCGGATATATGGTTGTGATGTGATTTCTTGTTCTCCGACTTTCAGTTTTATGGTCTCTGTCACTTTTCTGCTGGTAATAAGCACGGCCTCAGTCTTCTGTTTAGCCAGTTGTTGATTCATTGAATCCATCCACCGGTTTACTTTCTCAAAGGTGATACCGAACATTTGGTTTATCTCATCTAGGTGTTTCGCAACGATTACGGCAGCTACATCGTCTGCATATGCAACAAGCTTGACACTCCTTGGAAGAGTCAGTCTCAGTAGGCCATCATACATAACATTCCACAGAAGTGGACCCAGAACAGAACCCTGGGGTACACCTCCGGTAATATCGTAGTCTTTTGGACCATTTTTCGTGTCGTATCTCAGGATTCTGTCCATGAAGTAGCTAGCCACTATCCTACGCAGGTATCCTGGTACGTTTTTCTCTTCCAAGGCTTGCATAATGCAGTCCCAGTTGGCGGTGTGTGGGTGTGTGTGTGTGTGTGTGTGTGTGTGTGTGTGTGTGTGTGTGTGTGTGTGTGTGTGTGTGTGTGTGTGTGTGTGTGTGTGTGTGTGTGTGAAAATGTAAACAGTTATTTTTTTTTCATTTTTTTTAAATATCTCCGAATTGGCTGAACCGATCGGTCTCAAAAAATAATCAGCTCTTAACCTCGAAAACCCCCATGGATCGCCACCAAAAACGTCAGAATCGGTTGATGCGTTCGTGAGATATCGTTGTAGAAAAAAATTGAAAAAAGTGTTTTTTTGTAATAATTTCGAAATTCATGGCTCGATCGATTTAAACTTGAAAATTTTTCATGGAGCTTCAAAAACTGCGTCGATTGCCGCCAACCGCGTGAAAATCGGTTTATTCATTCAAAAGTTATTGCCGTTTGAAAATTCAAAAAATTGTGTCTTTAAACTGCTATTAGAGTTTTGAGCTCGGAAGAGCTCAAAAACGTAATGTGTAGTTTGAAGCGTTTAAGTACAAAATGAGCGGGAAGTTGCAGGGATGGCCTTTAGGGTGAACCGTTTTTCTAATTTTTTTTTGATTTTTCCATTTTACTTAAATCTGGAGGGTGACCGGGCCAAGCAGACTTTAAATTCAGTTTCAGCGAGTTAACGTACATGTTCGTAGGTGGTTCCGATCAAATGCACAGACAACTTTTTTTTTGTGTGCCGATATAATTTTTGACGGAAAAAAAAAATTTTTTAACTTTTAAAAATTGATAAAAAATAATAATTATGTAAGGCCCATTACCGAGCCAGGCTTAAAAGTTGAAGAATGGATAGAAGTTAAAAATAGCAAATTTTCAAAAAATCGAAGGATACACACAATTTCAAAAACACGATTAAAAATTCAAAACTTAGAAATCTCGATTAAAAATACTTTGAATATTTTTTTCTGAAAAGGGCATTCAAAAACGAAAATTTTGAAAAAAAAATTGGATTTCGATTATTATTAAGACAGTTACAAGCAAAAAACCAATAAAAGAACGGTTTTTTTTTTAATTCGATATTTTTGAACCAGTGATCGAAAAAATCTCGAAATTTACCAGGAAGCCTCTTTTGAGGAGTATTAAAAAATATCAAACAATTGAGAAAATCTCAAATTCAAATTTTTGAAACCGTCCGATTTGGCGTGGAATGCTCCATCTACAATACACTCATAATACACTCCTCTGCTTTCAAATTATTCATTTCGCACTATACACTGTACATGCATATTAACGCACTGTTATCAGATCTTTTTTTTTGACTACACAAATCTAATACAATAAAGTTGTTTGATTACTTTTTTTTACTAAAGAAATAATAATTACTATTAATTAATTAATTATTAATCGTCAAATATTATGTTTTACTACCAATGAAAATAATGAATTTAAATAACTTTAAGAATAATTGAGGATATTAAAAAATTCAAAGACTATTTTGACATTATAGAGTTACGTTCGAATATCCCTAAATCGGTAACGGTTAAAATCAATTGCCTGCTTTAATAAAACATTCAATGACTTGGTTATCTATGAAGGGTCTTGCACACAAAGTTGTGGGAAAGTTAGTGACCGCACTTGTAGTCGATAAAGTAGCATACACTTGCAGTGTTGATAAGATGTTGGTGACTAGTAAATAAAGAATTCGATAGTCGGGAATGATATTTTCTTTAAATTTTATAGGAGATTTGATAGGCAAGCTGTCTACTCTTGAGCGCAAACTACATTCAAAGAGTAAACAACCGACTAAAAGACTGAAAGAGGTGAAGACAAGTATGTAAAGCAAATGCCATGCAAATTGTTATGCTCCTCTCTATCAACTACTCTGTTAAGCTTGTCCATTTTTTTATTTTATTTATCTTAAATGTGAATACTAAGAGGGTTGCATGACACAAATAAAACAATTATTGATTAGATTATCTTTTAATATGATGAGAAGAAAAAAATTCATGGCTACATTTAGATGATTAAAATTCACCTTCATCGTGCATGAACTCCGATTTTGGGATCTGTAGGTTATTGATTCGGGGTTTCTGTTTTATGTTGAATTGATAATTTTTTTATTGGGTTTTTCAGGAAAGTGTGATTCTTACGTCAAAATAAGACTATTACCGGAGGAAAAATTCTGTGAAGTTAAGCTGCCAAAGACTCATGTGCAGAAAGAAACCCTTTTTCCTCTTTTTGATGAGACTGTGAACATGTAAGTTCAGAATAGTTATTTTCTATACACATGTGTGAAATGAGGATTTTTGGTAGGCTTAAATTTGCAATACGAGTTTAAGATTATGATGTATTCGTTACGGAGTCGAGTATGTCGTATTAGATTCTGTGGTGGATATTGACATAATCTTAAAAGCGAGTTTTGCATATTCAAATCACTAAATTCTTTATTTTACACATAATGTATCAAACAAAATTTTTGTAATATGGAGAAGTAAGACTTGAGAGTGAAAAGCAACCGAAAATTTTTGTAATTATACATGTATATTATTAACATTACAAGTGAACGTTAAAGTTATTTACACGTGTCAATGTATGTTGACTTAAAATCATCTATAGATTTTAGTGCCTCTGAGCGAGCGATTTTAGTAAAGATAAAAATTTCCAATAGTATATTAAAGATCTGTGTTAGAAATAAAGAGGAGAGATGGAAAGTAAAGAGATAGAAGTTTTTCGATACTTGTCCCCGAAATGTGTTCGATGTATTGCTTGTCATAAAAAAGGTATACTTTAGACCCGGCAAAAATCACTCAGAGTCATACGTCTAGGGTTGGAATTACAAGAAAAAAGTTTTTTTTTTGTCATTGTTTATGTTATTATTTGTAATTGAAATTTTATATTCTGTTTTAGAGCTTTTACTCCTGAGCAGAGAAATATTGAGAATGCAATTTTGGTGTTTGAAGTCAAAGACAAAGATTTTCTGCGGACGAAATTTATGGCAGAAGCATTTTTGCAGTTCAGTGATATTCCAGATACTGGTCATGATGTTGGCATTGATTCGCTTGATCAGATTCATTTGAAGTTATCGCGACCAGTCGATAAAAGTAAGTTTTTTAGTAGATTTCATAGCCCGGGAAAAAAAGTTTAGATCTGCTCTGATCAAATCAGATCTGGGCAGATCTGCATTTTTGCCAGATCTGTCCAGATCAAATTTGATCTGATTAGATCAAATCTGATCTGTTCAGATCTGGTTCGATTGAAACAGAATCAATTTATAAAAAAGTTTATAAATAAAAATAATAGTAAAATTTATTTTATTTCTACTTGGAAATTAGAAATTATGTATTTTATATCAATTTTCCGTGATTTAAAGTCGAATTATCGTTGAAAAACAATTGGCGATGTTGGGGATTCGAACCGGGATCCTCCTGCATGACAGTCCCAGAGCGTACCATTCAGCTACTAGAAGTAACTGACTGAGCTACTCTTCAGATAGTAATGTAGGCGCTGTATTATCTTTTCGTAAAATTTTGAGGACGGTGTACAAAATATGATTACTTAATGTATTTTAACCCGCTTATACCGAATATCGCAGTCATTTTTGAGAAATCCCGGGCCATCTATTGTTTATAGCCATTTGTTTAAACAATTATTTGAGATATAATTTTTTTTGAGACCGGATATTTTTTTTTCAATATTTTAGACAATTTTAAGATAAAAATTACTCTTATAAAATTTGCCGTAATTTGATAGTTTCTGAGTTATAAATTTTTGAAAATTGAAAATTCTTGATCTTCAACAATTTTGATGATTAATTACAAATAAATAAATTACTTAACACCAGGTTTCATGCACGTGATTGTAAAGAAAAATACCCAAAGTTTCTATTAAACTAATAACATCCGGTTATAATGTGTATTAAATAAAAAAAAACGTGATCAAAGTTAGTGCATTTGTAAGAGCTATTTATTAGAACATAAAGTATAAAAAGTCGTACCTAAGTAGATCTGCTTTGATCAGAGCAGATCTAATAAGATCTATCCATATCACCTTCATGATTACATATATTCATCAAGTTTGATCTGACTTGATCTAACTTGATCTGATCGTATCTAACTTGATCTGATCATATCTAAACTTTTTTCCCGCGAAATAATCAGATTAAACTAGATCTACATAGATCAAGTCAGATCTATATATATCTAATTTTTAATTTAGTTTTGATCAAACTTGATCTGGATTGGTCTAATTTGATCTGATCAGATCTAGTTTGATCAGAACAGATCTATTCATATCTACTTTTTAATTTCATCTTGATCAAACTTGATCTGGATTGATCTAATTTGATCAGAGTGGATCTAGTTTGATCAGAATATATCTATTCATATCTACTTTTCAATTTCATTTTGATCAAACTTGATCTGGTTTGATCTAAGCAGATCAAATTAGATCTGTCCATATCTACTTAGATCTAAATTTAGATCAAATCGGATCTGATCAGATCAGATCTGATTTGCTTGGATCAAATTTGATCAGAGCAGATCTAAACTTTTTTTCCCGGGAGAAATCAATCGGTCAAGTAATTTAGAAATGCCAGGATTTAAAAATTTTCAAAATTATAAAAATTCATATTTTTTCACTTTTTAACCCGAATAACTATGGAATGGGATAATTTATTGAATTTCTGTAAATTGCATCTTAAAGCTCTTTAAATAAGCTTTAATTTGGGTATCATAACATATGTGTAGTCTTCATATTAAGTCCTATTCCCCTATGCCAAATATGAAATTTGCTGTTGCACTCGTTTTTATTCATAATGAAATCTACTTCCATTCCGGCTGCCGAATGGCACTTTTTTTTATTACGATGAGAACTCATGAATTTAAAGATTTAAAATTGAACAGGTTTGTTGCACGGAAGAGCTCAAAAGCATAGAAAAGCTATCTCGTTGAGCTTGGAGAGCTCAAAATGACACGAAAATTATATTTTTGAGCTCGAAGAGCTCAAAAACGTAATAATTGCAATTTTGAGCTCTTAAGTATGGAATTAGCAGGAAGTTGCAGAGATGGTCTTAAGGCTGAATCGTTTTCCTAATTTTGTTTTTTCAAATCCAAACAACTTCATTTCAACAAGAAAGTTTTTGCGAGACAAATTTCGATTTCTTCAGCTAAGAATAAAAGTTGTTGAAAATTTCCAAAAAATTAATTTTCTTGTCATAAAAATGCCTATATTGTTCAAAAGAAATTTTTTCTCTCAGAGTAGTTTAAGCGTCTTTGGTATTTGAGATCAATAATGAGATTATAATGAGACAATTAACATAGTAAATGATCTTAAATACGAAATGTTTATTTTATTCTTGTTTACAGTGAAAATGACTATTTTTTGTTTCGATTAAATAAAAAATTTCTAAAAACAATAATTAGCATAAAAAATTACGGATCGTTTTCGTTTCATTACAAATATCTGCAAACTAAACCTTATTATACACGGATACCATAAAGTTTATGACTTCTCATTGTAATCAGTAAAACATTTATTTCGTGTGATAAAATATATGTAGAATATAGATTTTTGTATTATAATAATTAAAAAAAAAATTACAGGAGGAGGCAATATTTCAAAAAGTACAATAATAGCTTTATTTGCAAGGAAAATAGTAAACAACTGCTTACTAGTCTAGATGGTATTTGACTGACTTAAACCATCTCTTATAATTACTTGCGCCCTTGGGTCTCTTATCACCACCATCTCTAAACAGCATACTTCATACACTCTTACTTTCGCTTGCTTTCTTACTCGCACTTAGGCTACAATATTTTTAACAATCTTACAGAGTAACCATATTTTGACATCTGGTGACATCATGTCGAGTCATACTAATTACTCTAAATTTACGATTACTTATCCTTACATTTTAAAACTACTTATAGCAAAATATTTTTCCTGCTCCTACATATAATTTTCCCTTTATTAAAGTTAAATAATAAAGTCAAATTTTCATTTGCAGCAACTGATGTGATCCGAGCACTCGAACATCGGAAAGGAGATAACCAGGCAATGGATTTTATTTCTAAATTTAATGCTAAGTTAAATACTCGATAATTTGAAGACTTCTTACTTTGAAGCAATACCAGAATGCTACTAAAAATTTTAATATCTTAATTTTGTAAATAACACGTGTCGTACGAACTTAATACAATGATTCTATTCAAAGTATATTGTATGAAAATTTATTAATTGTTAAATATATATTATATTGTTTCTAATAAAATGATAAAAAATTTTTTGTATTGAATTAATTCTTAGCTTCATACTTATTTGATGTAAAAATTGTTATGACGAAGAGCGAGCATTAAATACATCAACAAAAAATTCATGATTACACTTTTTCAAAGGAAATAATTTCCCATTAATAAGCACGCCCCTATATTGCACGCCTTATAAGCGAAGCGTTGAGGTTGTGCTCTACTCTCGACATTTCGAAAAAAGCAGTTTTGTCGAAACTGAAATTGATTTTTTGTTATTCATATTGCACTTACAGGTTAAAATGAGTACACTTATGTCAAGTCAAATAATTTTTCAGGCACATATAATATATTTTGATAACAATTTTTTTTGTTTAACATAATAAATAATAACATTAAAGATAATCTTTTTTGGACGTCCATGTATGAATGGGTGTATGTGGCAGGGAAATTGGTCGAAAAAATGATCGTACCGGAATAATTTTTTTTTAATTATCTAAAGTAACACACGACAGAATTTCTTAGTTAATATGAGCGTTCAATTCACTGTCGTTAAATTATTATTTATAAAAAACTAATATATGGCTGTGGAATTTTTTGTATTTCTATCTATACATTTTATTATAGTATTTTTTTTCCTCACCTTGCGGTTATGGCGCCACTAAACCATAGCAGTGTTTTCTGTTTTTTATTATTTTGCTTTCTATATTTTATTTTAATCAATTTTATTTTAAAAAATGAGATTATGAGGCGTGCACTTTTGGATTTTCCAAACTTTTTTTAACTTCCTGCTACGAAACTCAATGATTTTTGAAAAACGGGAAGTTATTAGTTTCACCTCAGTTTTCGAAAATCGAGTTCTCATCGGATCTCTACGTTTTCAGGTCCTAGAAAACTATTCTACACGGCGAAAAAAACATAGGAATTTTTCCTATTTTTGCATAGGAAAAATTCCTATGCTGACATAGGAATTTTTCCAATTTTAACATAAGAATTTTCCCAATGGTAACACAGGAATTTTTTCTTTATTAACATGATAGAAATATCCATGTGACATAGGAAAAATTCATTTATTACTAAAATTTATGTAACTTAATTTAATAATTACAAATTTACATAATAATTTTCTCATTCGAGCAGTTTTAGATAATTTAAAAGTAAAACAGTGATATACAGTCGGTTTGTAATAAAAAAAAATTCAAGGAAATTTTTTTCAAATTTTGCTTTACATTTCAAAAAAGTTAAAAATCCATAAAAATGAAAATTATTGTTATTAGTTTGATTTTTTAAAATTAAATTTTTGATTTTGAAGTTAAATAATTTTGCCGCTAATACATGCGTAATTATTGTACGCAGTAGCAAGTTTACACTTGCTCTTTTTGCAAATTTACACATACCCGTACTGCGTCGACTCAACATAACCTTATTAAAATTGACAACAATAATACAACTACCTACTGTTGAAAATCAATTATTATAACAATTTGAATGTTAAAAAGTAAAAGATTAAAGCAAGTATCAATATACTTTGTAACAGGGTAAATTACCCTTAATCGATAAGTCGCCAGAAATCGATAACTTTTTCGACTAGCATTTTGGCGCATCGATCTTCGGGCCTAGAGAGAGAGAGTAGGAGGGGGTATTTTGGGGAGTCATTAAATAGGCGAGCCATGCGTTGTGTCGGCAGAAGTAGTGTAGTGTTGAAACAAGTAACATCGAGGAGTCCAAGAAGGAAGCCATTAGCAACCAAAGAGTTTCTTCAAACCAATTGACACCAGGTATTGGACTTTGGTAGTGATGAGCCTTGGGGTTTACACCCGGCTCAATTAACATACTACTTCTCATTTTCTAACTAATTAATGGTAATTCAATTCGTTTAATAATATTTCATTAATAATAATAAATTGTTTTAATCAATTTAATTTGCTAACCTTGAGAACAATTCCTCCTGGGGATTGTTACGCCCGAAGAATGTTCCAGACCTCTTAGGGTTTGGTCGTGAGCATCTAAATTATTAATTCTGCAGGTTAATAATTATTAACATCCTAGATTTTGCTTGAATAAATTTATTTTATTAAGAAATCATTAAATTAATTTCTGAACATCGAGAAACACTCTAATCAGCAGCTCACGACCAGTCAAGCGTCTCTCGGTACCCGAGGTCAAGCTAACTACGCAGTAACGAGCAACGGCGTCCATTTTGAGCGCGCAAATTCCTTAAGAATTTTGTGCCGCAGTAAATTTATGAAATAAATACCTGGACAATTTTTATAATTTTTATAAATTGAATTACCACTTAATTAATTATTTTATGGATTTATATTTGATTATTTACTGAAACTTAATTATTGGAACAATTTAATTACCGGAATTGATTTATTGAGGAAATTGCGTCGCATTTAGAAATTTAACGCCGTGGATAATTTTCTGTGCTTGATTTTCACACTGAGGTGAATTATTTATTATTTAATCGTCACTCTCAATTTACTAGAAAATAATTATTCCACGTCTTATTAATTGTTGAGAATTAATCATTAAATTTCGGCGCAGAGAAGACGGATACACCCACAGAAAAACTTCAGGCACGTAATTTTTACATTGAGTAAAATTATAATTTATTATCTAATTTAATGGCCAATTTCTGCTTGGGGAGTCTTATATTTGTTATGTAAAAAATATTAATTTAGGGTAATTAATTAATTTTACATTTAAAATATTTAATGTGTTTAAGTATTTGATCCTAGCGTGTTAGGCTAGTAGACCGGGAACTTCCGAGTTTTAATTTATTGAGAAAGATAGGTTTGTTTGAATAAATTGATGTAGTTGAATAATTTCAATACATATATTGTTTAAATCCAAAATTAATATCATTAGTTAATTTACAATTATTCACAATGGATGAAGAAGCTATGTGGAAAGGATTTTATGAAAAGATAATTGCGGAAAAAGAGTCAAATAAGGAAAAATCAGATCATGAACTAAGGTAAAAAATTATGACCAATCATTAATAGTTGATGTTGGTGAATTCACTTATTTATTTAATTAGAGCTTTATACATGATCATTAATAATTCTAGCAGAGATATTCTAAATGTCAACAGTTTGTATTTGTTCTCAAATATAATTATGACGCAAATTATTGACTAACATGTTATGGACAGAAGAATAACGTACTGGTGATTGTATAGTTATAATTTGTTCAAGCATACGTAACAAAAACAAACTTTTAAATTTCGTGGTGTGACGTATGTAACAAATATTACAATTTCAAATCTGACAATTAAAACGGGGCTATAAATAACCGCGCCGAAATAAATGCTTAGAAAGTAACTCAGTGGTTAGTCGTTACTATTTTGATCCATTGAGTCACACTCACACATGCAAAAAAAATACACGTACGCAATGCCAGTTGTTTTATTGAATAGGCGTGTGGTATGCATGAATGTGTTTAGGTGGATGGTTCAAGAGACTGGAAGGTGTCTTGGTATAGACAGGCGTGTGAAGGCCGTGTTACTATGAATCATTTAATTATGCTATCATGCTAGTATTTATATTAACAGATCTCTTAAGTTTAATATAAGTTATGATAAATTTTTATTAAAAAAAAATTGTAATTAAGAGATTAGAGTCTGCTCTGTCAATAAAGACAGGCTTGATGTACTTGAATTTTTAGGAAATTGCTCGATTCTATTTCAGTGTAAGATAATAAATAATAATAATGTCTAATGACATAGTGACTTATAGCTTCGGGGCATTTAGAAAAAAATGGAATGTTTGTCGTCTAATTGTTGCGGGTTTAGTATTTCTGAATCAAAGTCAACACTAATGATTGATTACGTTGATGTCGTAAAATACTCGATTACTATAAAAATAATTTCTTATAAGTTACATATAAGTTTTTTTCATTTTTTATAAAGAATGTCCACTTAAAAAAAATTTATATTTCAATAAAACATAACTTTGCAAAGGCTCTATAAAAAATTAGGAAAGCGGTTGACACTAAAGGCCATACCTTTCAACTTCCCGCTAATTCCATATCTAAGCGCTTAAAATTGCACTTATGACGTAAAAAGTATTGCACAAACTGATCGGACCGAAAATTTTAGAGAAATTTGAAAAATTCACTTTTTCCGAATTTTTTCGGCAACGATAACTCACGAACCAATCAACCGATTTCCACGTTTTCAGCGGCAATTGACGAGTTTTTTTGGGCTCTAATAATTATTTTATTTCATCAAAAACCTTCCAATAAGAAATGTCGAAGTTATGTAAAAAAAAACACTTTTTTCGAAATTTTTCGTTTTCAATAACTCTCGAACGAATCAACCGATTCTGACGAAATGGGCGGCAATCGACATGGTTCCAAGTTTAAGAGCGAATTATAGTTTTTGGGATTGATCGGTCGAGCCGTTCAAACAATATTTCGAAAAAATCATTTTTGAAAAATTTTATTTTTAAGATTTCTCAAAATCTAAAGAACGGAATTAATTCAAATTTTCACGAAATTGAAGGGCAATGATATGCTTTTAATCGCCACTAATCTTGATCCGATCGGTTAAGTTGTTCAAAAGTTATAAGAGGTTTACATACATACACACACACAGCCGCATGGTCACCATCACGGGAATAGTCAGGACAGCTTCCTAGGACCTCAAAACGTCGAGAACTGATGAAAACTTGATATTCGCAAAACGGGGTAAAACCAATAACTTCCCAAATTTTTTAAAATTTTCAATTTTTCTTAGCGGGAAGTTGAAAAAGTTTAACTACAAATTTAGCTTACAATCTTGAAACTTTTAAATTCTGTAGCTAGTAGCCAAATCATTGCTTAAAAATGAACAATTTATATGAAGAAAATTATTTAAGCGCTTTTAAAAAAAAATTAAAAAATTTTTGTATAAATTTATTTATTCAAACGTTATCCGAGTATTCGACAGAATAAGTACTGATAAATTACGAAAACCTTAGAATGTTCATATTGTAAGCTAATTAAGTAGTGAACATAAAATTCTATAAAATTTTGTATTTCTCAGAATTATTTCAAGTGATAACTCTTAAAATTTAGTATCTTCAAGAGGTTCATGTCAATTAAAAAACAGCTTCTTAATAGCTTTTTAAAATTATGAATACGAAATAGTTGACTTGGATCCTATTCTTAATCAATAGTTCATTTTTGTAGAAATTATGAAACTAATTTTTTTGAAAACATAAAAAACAATCAGTTGAAAATCAGAGAATATAAGATCAATAATAGGAATAATTCAAGATGATGTCTTCATTTGCGATACTTCATACTACATCAGTTCTTCCTCAAGAGCTTTTGAAAAAATCTCTATATATGAAATACAAGCTTAATTAAAAAAATTACAAAATTAAAATGTATCCAGTATTAAAAACTAATGTCTTACAAGTTCCTTGAAAGAGAATAACACGGTTTTTGTTTTAGATCAAACTCAATTTCTATTGGCTCTCAATGCTGCATAAATATTTTCTACAGTACTTTGTTTCCGTGCTGGCCGCTACAAATCACTTGTGCTTTTGCGTTTCAATGGGTGAGCAGTTAAAATAAAAAAGTAAATGATATTGCGTTTAAGTATTATTTGATCGTATAAAAGCATACAATAAAAAGTAAGTATTTAAATAATTACTTAAATTTGTACAATCAATTAAATAAGAATTTGTTATAATATTATAGTTTTTTATATTTCTAGACATGACTGGAAAAGCAAATAACAACAGCGGTAGAATGACACGATCCATGGGAGATTCTGCATCCAGTCAGAATGAGTTAAATCTTCCGAATAGTGCAAAGGATAAAAAATCCAAAGTACCTGAAGGTCCCTTAATGGATTCCTCAAATAACGTGAATAAAACAGGCTTACCTCTTACTGAAAAAACTAAAAAGCATACAGACAATGGAAGTGTTGAAAAGGGTGAGAAAGATAAAATGTCCCATGATCACCGACGATGCGCTGGGAAAACTAATAAAAAGCATGGACGTTCAAAATCATCCACATCCATGTCATCATCGTCGTCGTCAACGTCATCTTCATCCGATGACAGGCGATACTATAAGCGTAAACAGAACCGCAAGAAGCACCAAAGCAAAAAGAAAAGACACCACCGCGTATCCAGCTCATCATCTTCTTCAAGCTCTTCAGAACCGGCTGATAAAGCCAATAAAAAAGAACTGAAAAAAAAAGCATTCAAAGACCTTAAGAAGCTTCAAAACCTGACAAAAGAAGATATTTCAGACGAAGATGTGAAAACGACGTCCAAAAGGACTTCAAGGCGTTTACGGACCACTGAGGCAAGATTAGCAAATATCGAAGTAAGTAATAATTATTCTCAATTCCTGAATTTGTAGTTATTTTCTGTCTTCTGTAGTTCTTTAAATATATTACAAAAATTTCGACTGTTGTTTTAGAATTACTTATTTGGACAAACACAGACTAATATGGTTGAGAATTCCGGTTATCGACTGTCCAACAGAAATGATCTGCGCGTCCAAAGAAATTTATTCGTTCAGCAAAATTACTCTAATCAAAAACCACGCCCGCGACAGCCGACTATTTTGGGACCAGCGTTACCTCTTACAATACAACCTTAAGCTCAACAATTTATCCAACCTTCTCAGGGCCTCCCTATTCATAATCATCAGCAGGTTCAAGGGACAGAGCAAGCGTCAACGAGCGTCCAATATGGATATCAAGACAGTAACCTTAATCAAGTAAATAATAATCTGAATGTTCCCACACTGTCAATGCAGTATGGAAACATTCCTAATCGCCAATAAGCGGTGTTATAATGAAAAGTTAACATAACCTTCTCAAAACTACTCGCCAGATTTTATACTTTTCTTTTTTTATTTATTCATATAACTAATTTCATACTTCACTTTTAACAAAAACATTTAACTTAAAATAAGCTGACAGAAGAAAATCAGTGATCATCTCAAAAATTTAAAACAGAGTTTAACAGTCTTTTCTTTTGTTTTTTTAATTTCTGCATGCATGATTTTATTTCGTTGACTTTCATTGCAATAAGTTTTTGCAAATTATTTAAACATTTTTCTGTCAACTGTTAATGTAAGTATATGAGTTAAAAATATGTAATATTTAGCACTTTCATTTTTTGTTTAACAAATATTTACTATTAATCTGTCGTAATTCTTCTGCGTGCATAACTTGAGAAAAATCATCATTGATGATTGTTTTTAATACTTCTTAAAAGTTAAATTATCTGTCAAATAGATAGAATAAAACTTCAGTTTATTATAATATAATCATATTTTGTTTCTTTTTTCTTAAAGAAGTGTGTAATGTAACACGAAGTAAGATATTAATAACTTATTCAACGTTGAATGGTACCATGTAAAAGATCGTTAATAATAATAACTATATTAAAAAAGGTGTTCTAAATAAAGAACTCACTTATTATAATTTACTATTTAAAATGTTTTACGAAACTAACCTAAATCCCTTAACAAAATATAATTAAATTGAAAACTACAGTTTTTGCGACGATAGAAAAAATTAAAAATTATTGAAAAACAATTTTCCGTAAAAATTCCTGATGGAGAGACAATTTAATTTATTTCATTCTTACGAAATAAAAAAAATAACATTAAAGTTAGCTAACACCACTATTTATTTTAATTTCATTTACCAAATAAATAAGTTGCAGAAAATCATTTAAAAATAATTCCATTTTTCATACTTCAAAATTACTTTATGCAGGATTTTATTATAATTTTTTATTGTCATAATTTATATGCAAAAATAGTTTTAGAAATGATTAAATTTCTCTAAGTTTTATTATCATCCTCAAAATATAAATCCATCAAACTGTTGAAGTTAGTCATAAATGGAAACTTATAATGTTATAATAGGGCCCTAATACCCTATTGGCGGAAAATAAAGCAAGCGCGTAGCGCGCTGTTTAAAATTCGAGTAAAAAAAAATTAAAAAAACAGAATCCGAATTCCAGAAATTGTCGAAAAAAAAATAAATGTTAAAATCATAGACAATATTAATAACACTTAGACAAAAATACTGTTAGAAAAAAAATATAAACAAATGTAAACGAAAGTAATATTCCGACATTATCGACTGATAAACCAACACTAAAAAAAGCTTCGGTTTCTGACATGAGTATTCGTCTTGAGAAACTTAAAATGGCGTCCGTGTAATTGAACATATTCTCGCCAGTTATTATTTAATTAATTGTAGAAGTTTGGTTGCTATAAAAAATTGGAATTTAAACTCATAATTTATCGAATAAAAAATTGAAAAAAAATTCAATTGTTGATGGTGACAATAATTGGCGACAAGCGAACAGTTGAGGAGAATCTATTATTAACCTAAAAAAATAAAATTAAAGTAAATTTTTGCTTTGCACAATATTTTACACGAGTCATTTACAATTTTCCAGTGCAGTGTGGTAATTATTAAAAATTTGAAGTATAAAGAGTATTGAGTCAACTATCACATATTCAGTGCACATTTGAGTATTTTATTCAAAATACAATTTGCATTCTATTTTTTCTGGTAATTTCTCGACACCAATTACTCTAAAAGGTTATACACTTCTCTAAAAATGTATTTTAATTGAATCATACTTCATAATGGAATATTATCAATTAACTTATGTTCGTATTCACATATTAGCAGTCATCAAAGTTTTTAAAGCAGGTTACCTGTAGAATTTGTAGTAGGTAATTTGGTTGTAACTTAAATAATATTAACAATTATTATCTTTCATTTGACTTATTAGTCAATAATTATCATTATGGATAAATGCTTGTCAAATTTTTCCAATTCAAATTTGAGAGTGGCTACTCGCCCGAGGCACAGGGCACAGAGCACAGGCACGGGCACGGTAAAATGGTCATTTTACCCATTTTTCGCGCATGCGCACGGGTAAATTACCATTTGCTCTGATATCTGACCACACTGCCACTGTGCCGCCGTGCTCAAAGGCTCTGTTTGCGTCTGCGCACATTTTTAGGCACCAAAAGTGTTACTAGATTTTTTTTTTTAAATATATTACTGGTTGGTAATTATTCAGAAGTGGGGTCCACTCTACTTTTTGCTACAAAAAATCAAAAAATTGATATTTTTACATACTTTCTTTTTTCATTTTATGCGTTTTTATGGCGCATTAAATAAGTTTTTATCACTAGAAAAGGTAAAAAAATAAAAATTTTCACGTTTTTTGTAAAAATTTTAATTTTATCATTTTTTGAAGAGATTCTTGTATTTTTTTTTTAACTACTAAAATAGAAACAACCAATTTGAAAAAAAAAATTTCAAGTATCACAGTTTAAACTTTTTTATCATGTCGCTTGTCATCAGTAGATTTCATAGAAATTTAACTACTGCAAAAGGTTCTCGTGACGGAACTTTTGAAAAATTTTTTCCATATTCCGACTCAACTCGCCGAGCCGATATATATATATATACATGTATACACTGAGAGAAAAGCATGGTTCTCTGAACTAGGAAATCCTAATTAATTTACATCACCACTATTTAATTATAGTTCCAACTAACGAAATTTTTTTATTATTTGAACCACAAAAATATAGTGACATCAACTATATTAAGTTAAACATGAGCTTCATAGTTATCTTGATTTGTTTCAACTTAGTTTATTTAGCTACAAATTTTAAGTTACTGTCACTCAAGTATCTTTCGAGAGTGAATAATATTATCCTTGTTAAGAAAATCAATTTACTGTAGTTATCTGAAATATACAGTTTTCATAATTCAGACCATATATTTGTACGATCAAGCGAGCCCGCCGAAGGCGGGCGAAGCTCGATCGAGATTATACGTAGCGTCTCGTTCGAAGATGATTAATGGATTGATTACATGAAGTACTGTCAAGTACGTGTCGACTACACAACTTTTAGAGTTTAAATTTGAAATCTTTTCCCCGCGCCAAGCCTCCACTGCCTGGCGCGCACCCTTGCGGACTCATAATTTTAGAGTGTTAAGTTCTCTTTATTCTTATGTTATCACTAGTACCAAGATGATTACTGGGGAATGAGCTTGCATAGTTAAAAATATCATTAGTTAACAATATGCAATGGGTATTCCTCAATAATTAACATTTTCGTAAATCTAAGCTCATTCTGATTTCACACTCATCGAGACCTTTCATTTGAGTACCCACATGAATTCTGTTATATATCTTATATATATGATATTTATGAATTTATGAAATATATAAAATATATGAAAAACGTCAATAATTAAGAAATGACATTGAATCTTGTGAACTATTGACATTTTTAAAGATATAAGCTCATTTCGACATTATACTCGTCGAGACCTTTCGTTTGAATACTCACATTAATTTTTCATATATTTGATATATTTATATATATTACATATATGTATATATGAAAAATATATCAAAAATGCATGTGGGTACTCAAATGAAAGCTCGACAAGTGTAACATCGGGATGAGCTTATATCTTTAAAAATGTTCATAATTAAGAAATGACCTTGTATCTTGTGAACTATTGACATTTTTAAAGATATAAACTCATCCTGATGTAACACTTATCGAGACCTTTCATTTGAGTACCCACATCAATTTTTCATATATTTGATATATTTATAAATATTACATATATGTATATATCAAAAATATATCAAAAATGCATGTGGGTACTCAAATGAAAGGTCTTAATGAGTGTAACATCGGAATGAGCTTATATCGTTAAAAATATCATTAGTTAACAAAATGCATTATCATTCGTTAATTATTTACATTTTCGTAAATATAAGCCCATTCTGATTTTATACTCATCAAGAGCTTACATTTGAGTACCCACATACATTTTTCATATATTTTATATATTTATATATTTCACAAATACCATATATATAAACTATATAAAAAATTTTATGTGGGTACTCAAATGAAAGAACTCGATGAGTGTTACATTGGGATAAGCTTATATCTTTAAAAACTTCAATAATTAAGAAATGACATTGTATCTTGTCAACTAATGATATCTTTAAAGATATAAGCTCATCCCGATGTTACACCCATCAAATCCTTTTATTTGAGTACTCACAATAATTTTTCATATATTTTATATCTTTATATATATATATGGAAAATATATCAAAAATGCATGTGGGTACTCAAATGAAAGCTATTGATGAATGTATTATCGGGATGAGCTTATATCTTTAAAAACGTCAATAGTTAAAAAAGTACAGTGCAATTTAACAAAAGTCATTATTTAATAAAG